ATTTTGAAGAGACCGTAGGGCAAGTCAAAATACAAATAACGAGCAAAAATACTCAGCGATACTACACAACAAAACGTCTAATAAGTTATTTATTATCCAACACGCCAAACTGTTATTTCAGTGCGGCTGGCGAATTTCGCGGAGGTTTTTTTACTGGGAGTGCGTGACACAACTATACGAGGCGGAACGGAATTGGCGCGTTGTCGTGTTGTTGTTTCTATTTTCTTCAATTAATAAAAAATTTCCAGGTCGTCTAGCTGTTTTTCTTCGTTCGATTCATCTAATGAACTTGGATGTATATTTGCCAGCCATTCTGACTCTTCGTCGTCGGAAATATGATTCAAATTGTCTGCCATTTTCTTTTTTCGCAACTACAATTGAATCCTTCCTTCGCTTGCGCGATGCGAGAAAAGCTGTTTAACTGGTACTCTAGAGTACAAATACCGTGTGATATTTGTACTCGTCTATGGCGTTATTTGTACTCTACGAAATGTAGTTGGATAATATATGTATATATACACGTAAGAAATATAAACAAAATTTTTGCAGGTGTTAACAAACGATAAAAGTACATCGTTTTATCGTTTGTTTACACCTGCAAAAATTTTATTTGTATTTCTTACGTGTATATATACATATATTTACTGTATTTCATTCTATTCACTTGACAATGACCGAAGTACGGTCGAAACGTCGTGTTTTACCATAGTTAGTAGAGGGGACTAACTATGGTTTTACCGTTGATTTTTATTTTTACCGTCGAAAACTATTACAATCTTAAAACCATAATATTTGTGCTTTAAAAAAACAACTTCAAAATTGCTTCATGCATTAAAAACGTTATCTACAGTAGAACAGATATCTGTAGGAAACAGTAGGAAAAAACCAAGACCTTCTTACCCAAACAGCACCTGCACCAAGAGAAGAAAGTTCCAACCATGATGGAGACGATGAAGGCGATGATAGCCATTCTGAGATAAACCTCAGTGGAGGTCTAAATAACGAATCCTTACGTATCCTTTGTAAAATATTTTCTAGCTGTTTAGTACGATTCCTAACAGCTCCTTCCTTCAAAACGGATAAAAATGTCGGGAAGCTGTGCATTAATATTTAATTCAAAATTTGCGTCATAATGCGTCACGGCATTGCTAAACTTTCAATGAGTGATTCCTTTTACAGGTCTATTTATGGAAATAAGAGCACTTCATACTTTGATATCCTTAAATTACTTAGTATTCATAATTTCTTTTCTATTCAAGCCTATTGAAGCATTCTCGATTAAAAATATCAGGATTAAAGGGTTGGCTCTTTACTTATAACTCTTCTTGTATTGCGGCAAATTTTCTTTATTTCGTGTTAATAGCGTATACGCGATGCTTGATAAAAAGTTACTTCTATTTTTACGTTCATAAAATNATTGCCAGTCAGTAATAAAGAGAAGTAAGAATGTAGGGTTTTTCTCTGTTTTTATTAGAGCTTCGGGAGAATTCCGAAAGATTAAGTTCACTTCCAATTTGGTGTAATATTACGTGATCCAATTTACAAAAAATTTTAGTCATCTTCATATATGACAAATCAAGTCTAGAAATCTCATTTTCGTGAATTCATGACTCTTTGACATGTTTCTTTGAACCCGAAATTGCGTCAGTCGATGAAAATGAATTTTTCAAACCAATACACTGAGAAATAGTTCATAATCATTTGCATCGAAATCTCCTTAAAAAAAAAAAATGCATGACAGTTATTGAGGGAAAGAATTACGAATAAGAGACAGGAATGAATTTGACGCGATCGACCTCAGTATCATTTCTCATCTTGTACTGTACATACAAATTACGTAATCAGACGAATAAGCGTGCACCTCTTCCAAGAACGTGGTATTGTTTTTCAATAAATGGACCAGGGTACGATGAGCACGGTGTACACGGTGTACACGGTATACACGGTGTACACCGTGTACACTGTGTACACTGTGTACACGCTGAGCACCGTACAGAGCAAGGTGACATACTTTCTATTGCAGAATTTCTGTGTACAAATTATCCCCTTGACTGTGTTTTACAACACAACAGAGCACAGACTAGGCTTCTCTGTTTGTTTTATAATAAAGAATCTGTTAAATTCCCCACGCGTTACTTTCAAGTTTTGAAACATTTTATGTCCAAAGGGAACAACAATGTCGTCAGCATGCTCTGTACGAAAATAAGTCGATCAGAATCCTTGTTATAATGATCGAAGTAATCTTCGTTCGATTCATCTAATGAACTTGGATGTATATTTGCCAGCTATTCTGACTGTTCGTCGTCGGAAATATGATTCAAATTGTCCGCCATTTTCTTTTTTCGTAACTACAGTTGAATCCTTCGCTTGCGCGATGCGAGAAAACCTGTTTAACTGGTACTCTAGAGTACAAATACAGTGTGATATTTGTACTCGTCTATGGCGTTATTTGTACTCTACGAAGTGTAGTTGGATAATAAATGTATATATACACGAAAGAAATATAAAAAAAAGTTTTTGCAGGTGTAAACAAACGATAAAACTACAAAGAAAGTGCTAGTAAAAAGTTAATTGAAAACCTTAGCACGAATTGAATCAGACTGTACATGGAATCAGACTGTACATAAGCTAAGACCTGCTTTCAATGTAAAGTCTGATTCAATTCGTGCTAAGGTTTTTAATTAGCTTTTTACTAGCACTTTCTTTGTAGTTTTATCGTTTGTTTACACCTGAAAACTTTTTTTTATATTTCTTACGTGTATATATACATATATTTACTGTATTTCATTCCATTCACTTGACAATGACTGAAGCACGGTCGAAACGTCGTGTTTTACCATAGTTAGCAGAGGGGACTAACTATGGTTTCACCGTTGATTTTTATCGTCGAAAAGTATTGCAATCTTAAAACCATAATATTTTTGCTTTAAAAAGAGAACTTCAAAATTGCTTCATGCATTAAAAACGTTATATACAGTAGAACAGATATCTGTAGGAAACAGTAGGAAAAAACCAAGACCTTCTTACCCAAACAGCAACTGCACCAAGAGAAGAAAGTTCCAACCATGATGGAGACGATGAAGGCGATGATAGCCATTCTGAGATAAACCTCAGTAGAGGTCTAAATAACGAATCCTTACGTATCCTTTTTAAAATATTTTCTAGCTGCTTAGTATGACTCCTAAAAGCTCCTTCCTTCAAAACGGATAAAAATGTTGGGAAGTTGTGCATTAATATTTAATTCAAAATTTGTATCATAATGCGTCACGGCGTTGCTAAACTTTCAATGAGTAATTCCTTTTACAGATTTATTTATGGAAATAAGAGCACTTCATACTTTTATTTCCTTAAATTACTTAGTATTCATAATTTCTTTTCTATTCAAGCCTATTAAAGCATTCTCGATTAAAAATATCAGGATTAAAGGGTTGGCTCTTTACTTATAACTCTTCTTGTATTGCGGCAAATTATCTTTATTTCGTGTTAATAGCCTATACGTGATGCTTGATAAAAAGTTACTTCTATTTTTACGTTCATAAAATATGTTTTATTCACTCTAAAGAATGCTGGGGGTGTATTATTCTACAGCAGATACTACAGCCGAGACTCTGAACCAATTGCAATGAGAAAAATTTTAATTCGACCTGCCGAACCATTTCAGTTTGTGAATTACTGCAAATTGTGAATTATGATGGCTTGACATTTTCAATCAATCAGATTACTTCGATCATTTTAACAAGGATTCTGATCGACTTATTTTCGTACAGAGCATGCTGACGACATTGTTGTTCCCTTTGGACATAAAATTTGTTTCAAAAATTGAAAGTAACGCGTGGGGAGTTTAACAGATTCTTTATTATAAAACAAACAGAGAAGCCTAGTCTGTGCTCTGTTGTGTTGTAAAACACAGTCAAGGGGATAATTTGTACACAAAAATTCTGCAATAGAAAGTATGCTCTGTACGGTACTCACCGTGTACACCGTGTACACCGTGTACACCGTGTACACCGTGTACACCGTGTACACCGTGTACACCGTGTACACCGTGTACACCGTGCTCACCGTACCCTGGTCCATTTATTGAAAAACAATACCACGTTTTTGGAAAGGAGCACGCTTATTCGTCTGATTACGTAATTTGTATTTACAGTACAAGATGAGAAAAGATACTGAGGCCGATCGCGTCAAATTCATTCCTGTCTCTTATTCGTAATTCTTTCCCTCAATAAGTGTCATGAAATTTTTTTTTTTTTTTCAAGGAGATATCGATGCAAATGATTATGAACTATTTCTCAGTGTATTGGTTTGAAATCTTAATTTTCATCGACTGACGCAATTTCGGGTTCAAAGAGTCATGAATTCACGAAAATGAGATTCTAGACTTGATTTGTCATATATGAATATGATTAAAATTGTTTGTAAATTGGATCACGTAATATTACACCAAATTGGAAGTGAACTGAATCTTTCGGAATTCTCCCGAAGCTCTAATAAAAACAGAGAAAAACCCTACATTCTTACTTCTCTTTATTACTGACTGGCAGTGTCACTTCACAAGCTGGGAACGAGGTTGAAGTAAAATCCTACACTGATTTCAACTCAGTATTGTCTTAGTTAACGAAATCACGAAATCAAGAATATTTAAATGACATGATAGCAACGGGAGATAACAGTTTTTTACTCTTCTTCTCACAGTTGGTTCAGAAACAACTATTATCTCAACTACACTCCTTCGCCAGATTGTCAATGCTTTTCTTAGAAACCCTGCAGTAATTTGTTTGGTGTTAATTAACGAACACAGCTGCCTTTAGAGATCCGTAGAGGTGCATGGTTTGCACGTTACATCATTGTCGTCATGTTGGTGGACTTAAACAATGGATATCTCATTAGCTTCTTTTGTTCGTCCACCAGCATTTGTTCCTTTCACCATTATTACCTGCGTCTCTAGAGACTGGTTGCAAACCACCTTAGGGGCCGACCATTAACTCTAGGAGGAGGGGGGGTGGGTGATTTGAAAAATAAATTTCCTGCAAGCGCTTATTGGAAGAAAAAAATTGCATGCAGCCCAGATGTAACAGAAAAAAAAGGGCATCGAGAACGGAAAAAAAATATCCTGCACAGCAGATTGCTAGGAAAAAAATTTCTTGATGACCAGAAGTNCAAAGAAGAATTACACATGGGAAGTGGCGTATCTTGGCCCGGTTAGTGTGATTTAATGTACCTTGATTAGGTCGTGTCTCTTTTGTCTATATTTTGCGTTTCCAGGATTTTCGCAGCTTGTAGACTTGTTTTTTGATCCGATTAGTAAATCTGAGGCCACGGAGCGGTTTTCTTTTTAATCCGGACCACTGGAGCGCTTGAAATCAGCCAATCAGATTCGAGGACCACTGAGATGTTTGAAAAAAGCTGATATGTACTAAATGACTGAGAGAGAAGGTCGAACAGGAAAATATTTTGTTCGAGGTCAGGACTTCGAACCAAGTATTTTCCTGTCCGACCCTCCCTTTCTCAAGAAGTACATGATATGTTTTCTGTTGTTTGGTTTATTTTTATTCTTTGCTTATGTATTTTATTTCACCAATTACAATGATGTATCCAACATATCTTCGTGACAATCATATCCCTATGAATTGTTTGGCTGCTCCTTTAAAGGCGCTAAGCTGTTTTTTAACAGCATTCTTGTACATGCGGTCCGCTCTGCTAACGAACTCGTTAACGAACTCCTCTTTTGTCATTCGCATACGAACTTACTTTGATAAGGCAGGAACATTATGACCAGTGTTTAGCGGTCTACTCAAATTGGAGAATCTATCGTTTCCATTCTATCTCCATTTAGGACAACGAGACCGTGAGCAATTTCTCAACCGTCAGCAGGTCGACGTCTTGGTCATTGTCAGCTCGATTATTATCATATGGTCTTTACGTTGTGCAACTGGCGGTAAACACGCCGATGAGTCCTTACCAAGCCGGTCATGCCATTGGATTCCTTGAGATCAAACCTGGTCCGTTGTATGTCTACATTGCCAAGGGTTACGATGCAATATACACTGAAAATACCATAATGACAGTGGATGGCAGTGATACCT